TCAAACTTGGAATCTGGGCTGAAGATGCTTTGTTTTTCTTGCTAATCAATTCTCTTGCTTTTGGCTGGTGGTTAGAAAGGTTTCAACGATTATAGCTAAAAAGCTTGTTAGAAGCTCCTGGAAGACACCATGTAAACGCTCTACAGGAATGAAGCAAGTTTGATGAGAAATAATTACTGAGTAGGATTCTGGATGATGTGACTGCACATTTTCAACACTTTCCCGAAAAGATAGCTAGTCATGAATGTGGTACGCGCTTTGAAATAGCTAGCGGAATGTCATGTAGGAACTGCAAGGTCCAAGAGTCCTAATAAATAACACCCAGGACTGTGGTCACACACATCACTCTGCCTGGCATCTCCAGGGAGTGCTGGCAAGCGCAGATGATGTCCATCTTGACCTAGGGACGTGACCAGAGCAGCTCTTGGCTTGGGCTGAGTTCAGTACTTGAGAGAACCAGATAGGAGACCGGCTGGTTGAGCAGACTGATAGAAGTTAGTCCTGTCCCATCTTTTTGGCAAGTAAAGAGAGTTCATTTGAGCTAACATGTATCCACTCGGTGATACTTGAAATGCACTTTGTTTTTCTCTGGGCTCTCATGAAACACTGCACATTGAAGTAAGTCATGCTTCTGAGGCCAAGCAAACAAAACTGCCAAACAACGGTTTCCAGGTTTCACTTAGGAAGAAATTTTCCTTTGGTCATTTAAACAATGGATTCAGTTACTAGAAACCCGAGTGCACGTTTAAAGACCCCATGTGCTATCTGTTAACGCTGGCCTTCACCTTTTGGGCCTCTGCCCCAGGGCTGGCCACACAGATGCTTTTTCTTGGGCCAGACTGAGGTTTCTTAAGTGTGACTCAGGCTGGAGATTAGGTCCAGGCAGAAGAGATAATTGTTTCTAGTCTGGTTTCTTCTAACTTTTCTCCGATGTCACCTTTTAAGACTTTTCCTTTGGCTGCCCCCTCACGTTCCCCAAGCTTTAGTCCCTGGCCCTTCTCATTCTGTGCTCTCCCCACCCCCACCCCACTTCACTGCACAGCTTCTTTGCAGAGGACTCCAGAATCTTAGCACCGATATCTTTCTGATGTCCACCTGTCTGTCAGGGACTGTCACCCAGCACCTCAAATGTAGCACTTTTAAGATCAGATTCACTGTCTGTTCTGTGGCTCCCCCTTAAATCCAACCCGGTTCACGCGGAGCCATTCTTCAGCCATTGAGCTTAAAGTGGAATCTCTTGTGCCGTCAGCTGTTAAGCCTTCCAACTCTCACTCCACAGACTCTTGAGGCCCCCTCTTCCTTTACATGCTCAGTGCTTCTCAGCCTTTTACAGTAGCCTCTCTCCTAATTGGTCCCCCAGCTTCCTGTATTCCAAAAGTCTTTATTGTACCTGAATTACTCTGCTCATGCCCTTTCCTGCTTAAAAGACAAAACAAAACGAAACAGAACTTCTTAGGGGCACCTGGGTGGCTCCAGTCGGTTAAGCTTTGGACTCTTGATTTCGGCTCAGGTCATGATCTCACGGTTCATGGGGTCGAGCCCTGCGTCAGGCTCTGCACTGACAGCATGGAGCCTACTTGAGAGTCTTTCACTCTGTCTCTGCCTCTTCCCCACTTTCCCTCTCTCTCAAAAATAAACATTTAAAAAAAAAAAAAAAACTTCCTAGGGCTTCCTTCTTCACCCTCATCCTGGAAAAGAGGCTATTCTCAGGATGGGACCTACTTAGGGGACGTGTGGCATTCTCCTCATGGGTCCCGTTTCAGGCACGATGAATATAATTTTTCCTTTTCAACTTCTGGGCCTTTCCTGACTTTTCCTTGGAAAATCCAAGCTCCCAGTCTCATCTCCATCTGCTGAGTCCCCAGTCTTCCAGGCTTCTCTCAATTGCCACCTTGCTGAGGACTTGTCACACTTGGAGGCTTCATTTGTGTCATACTCACATAGTTACTGGTTATCTGAACTTGTGAGTCAACTACAAGCTCCTTGTGTCCCCGGGATTGGTCCTTAGGCTTAGTAGATGCCTGGTGTACTTGCTAAACTGTGGGCAGATGCCCAGTCCTGCCCCACCCCCACCGGCCCTGCGTCCCGGCCTGTCTGACCCATCCCAGCCTTGCTTTCCCTCCTCTTTTTAATCAGACACAGGCAATAAATTTGGCATGGAAAGAACTACCCTCCTCCCCCAAACCCCACTGACTTTAAATCTTATTGGAGGCAAAAGCGAATTTCCAAGATTCAGATCAACACCAATTTAGAATTATTTCTGCCAGTTGGAAAAAGAAAACTTTGAAAATGACATTTGGCTTTTTTTTTTTTTACTTGGGAAAAATATGAAAGCTATAGCCTTTCAAGGAAACGGGATACTTACGCCGCATGCACACACACACACACACACACACACACCCACCCCAGCCCAGCTTTATGCAGTTCAATCCTGTCAAGCTAATCTAATCTTTTGTGACAGAGCAGCAGACCCGCTAGACCAAGGCAGGAAACAATAGTTGGGATTTATCTTTGCCGGCTTTAAAACTTTTGATTCCTAGGTTCCACTCAATATGATTATCATTAGACTGGTTGAAAGGTTGGCAGGGGGGTGGCGGTGGGGAGGAGGGCACAAAGCAGTTATAGCTAAGGGAAAGAAGTGGTACCCTGGGTGTCAGGCTTGAGCCCAGGGGCCCTGAACGTTGGCCTGAATGGGCCAGATGACAGAAAAGAGACCACAAGGTCAGCCTGAATGTCGAGGCAGGTGGCATAGATTGATAATCGGCAGGAAACGTAACTTAGGCGATTACTGACCAACGTGATCAACGCTAGTATGTAGGTCTGACTAGGGGAGGGTTCTCATTCAGGGAGAGCAACAGGCATGGTCAACGTGGCATTATATAAGAATGGATACTGGGGTGAAGAAGTACAACATGTAGCAATCTTATCGTCCTAGACTTGCATTAACCTCTATCCCCTTCCAAACGCCACAGCTAAAGACAGGAAAGAGAATTTGGACGGCATTCACGGGAGAGCCACACAACTAATTTAACTGGGCCTGGACTAGGGAATTGAAGATTCCTACAAAAAAGTTCAATGAATTAGGTTTATTAAACTTAGAGCCAGTACCAAACGAAAATAGAAATAGGTTTAAATTATAACACATGAGAATAAAATTAAATGTAAATAAGACTTTCCTTAGTCTTGAAACCAATAAATGGGTCGTGACAGTAGCATGGATTTCTCTAGGCTGGTTTGAGAGTGCCCTGGGCTGGCTGGGAGGACCTGGACAAACTGAGAATATCTGTCTCTACCCCCCACAGTGTTAGGAAGCATTGCTTCCACTCCAAATGCCTCAAATGTTATAATGGTCTCAGGCGTCAGTGTCGTTTCCTTTTTCAGAGAATTTCCAACATAAATGAAGCTATTCCTTAAGACCAGCGCTGGGAATGCCCGCAGTGAGCTGGACTTTCCTGTATGTGATTACAGTGCTGACCTGATCCACGGAGCAAACTCATGGCAAATGGGATGCTGTCTTCCCACTTTCAGTGCGAACAAGCCCCTGATGAAGTATCTCATCTGAGGAGACGGTAACAATAGAAACTTGAGTGCACGGCACCCTGAGTTGTTAATGGCGGTACGTGAACATTACCCCATTCAAACGTTTCTTCTTTTAAGTGTGATCTGGCATGAGTAAAAAAGGGGACGCAATGATTTTCTCTACAATATTACTGATAACTAATAATCACAGTCCATTGCACATGTAGGTTAATTCTTTAAATTTAATCAGTCCTTTATAAAACGTCCCAATTAGTAAAAGATGGCTTATCTTAATAGCCTTAAACATTGGTCGCTATTTAAACAAGACATTCTAAAAAAAAAGGCAATCACATAATAGTTTATAGTAATTTACAAGTGGATGGTATACATTTAGATACAGAGGTAGAGGTCCACTTTAACAACATTTCACTAATACACATTTACCAAATTCAAGGCACAAAATAGTTTGCTTTACAAAAAAATACTGTAAAAATGTCAATTGCTGTTCTACAATGTGAATAAAACTTTCAGAAGAATCTTTACACCCTTCCATAAGTACTCCATAGAATATGGTTTTTCCCCCTCAGTAATGATAGTTGGCACAAAAATGGGGACTTTTTTTTTAATGCAGACGTTCCCAATTTTAGGAACTGTTTCTTTGCAGAGCTGCTATGTATTCTAGATAAAAGTCCACTCAGAGAAATGAAACACAGCAACTTCCTGAGGAAAGGGCACTTTCTGTATGCAGCAAAATTCACAGGTAGAAAATGTATGACCTTTGTGGATAACTAGGTCTCCAGAGTAATAGATCCTTAAGGGAAGATTTCAGAGATAAAATTAAAAATCCGGCTAACACTTCAGTCATTATGACTTTAAGAAAGAGACCTGATCACCTTTACTGTAATAATCAAACATCATTTACTTCAAATTGGTGGAGATTTCAAAATTCCTTTTCAAAAGAGCTGTACACACAAACACCACGAAAAGCCACACAGGCTTTGCAAAACTGAAACTTATAAAACATGAGAAAATAGAGCACTATCAGTCCTTGAAGTTGCAAGGGCGTCAATTGGCTAGAGTTTAATTACAAGAATTAATAAACTCCATGGAGATTAAAAAAAAAAAAAACCCACACGGCTGAAACACACTGTTGTTATCATCTCTAGACTTTCTGCTCATTAAAAAAAATAATGGTAGCCTGGAGATGTCACACAGTGCTTGTCTAAAAGATTTGACAGGTTTTAGGGTTCGGCCGAAAAGGAGCCTGCTGGCAACAAGGTAAGCTCACTTTTGCTGATCACATTTTCCAAGTATTCTAGTCGGTTAATTTACACTTTATTTATTTTTTAAAAAGTTGATTTAAAAAAAAGTCAACATGGATTTGGAATCCAGAGAATGTCAATAATGCTGATGTAGATAGGACTGAAATACCTTGATCGTCTTCTGATAGAAATGATATTCCATACAAAAAAGATCGATTCTCAGATTCCATTTTTTGCTTCATTATTGTTTGTGGCTTGTTTTCTTTGAGCGATAAATGGGTACATACACTTGTCTGCTCCTAGGAACCGATACATGCACACGACTGCTTCAAAAGGGAGGATGCTGAAAAGGGAAAGGGGGCTATTAGCAAACGTGTGACGTCTCATGTGAAGTTATAGGGGTGGGGCGGGCATGAGACAGACGCATTGCACCAGGGAACCCCACCCGAGTTACCTCTTCATGAACGTCACGATGTACATGAGGCGGGGGGTGCAGATCATGGGCTGGTCGGTGAGGATGGCCTTCATGGCCTGCTTCACACAGTAATCCGGCTTCAGAGGGGGCAGAAAAGGCTCAATTTCTTTCCTGGAAGTTATACATTAGAAAAATGAAATTAACGCAAAGTAGGGAAGACTGGAAATACACATCCAAACATTAATAACGGCGTTATCTAACATAGGTTCATTGTTTCCTTCATTGTGCTTTTATGTATTTTCCACAATTTCTTACTATGAATACATTTTATTTGCATAGTCTGGAAAACGAGCTAAAAAAAAAAAAAGCAAAATCAGTCTGCTTTTCTCTAAAATGAGAAAATCATGTTTTTAAAATGCCTTAAAATGTATTTCATATTATTTTTCTATTTTTTTTCAATAGAAAAAGAAGAGAGTGTTTGGCATAACACTCAACCCAAACATTATGCCATACTTTTTATTTATTTCTAATATATTTTTTTTAACATTTATTTTTGACAGAGACCAAGCACTAGTGGGGGAGGGGCAATGAGAGAGGGAGACACAGAATCCAAAACAGACTCCAGGCTCTGAGCTGTCAGCACAGAGCCCAGCGTGGGGCTAGAACTCATGAACCGTGAGGTCATGACCTGAGCCTGAGCCAACATTGGACACTTAACTGACTGAGCCACCCAGGCACCCCAACAACGCCAAACTTTCAGTGCTAAGTGTTGCTGAAATGATGGCGTGTATACTGGCATAACCTTCCTGAGTGAAGAAAGTCAGCTACACACATTCCAAGGTATTTTCTCTCGGGGGTCTCTGAAACAAAGTACATATAGACATCCTACCTTCAGCTGAATCCATTACATTACACGTTAAAATAACCTAATAGTATAACGTACTCCTTTCACTTTTCATTGTCTCACCACAGTTTTGGACACCTGCCATGATGCTAAATAGGAAACAGGACTCCTTACACTCTCAGCAATTGGCTTCTAAGTATATAAGACGAAGACACACACACACACACACACACACACACACATGGGAAAAGAGGCAGAGCTTGAGTCTGTTCCCGTCCAGACTGGGAGTCAGCCTGAGACTGGAATGACTCAAATCAAGCTCCACCTGCTTCCCAGCTTGGCCAGGCTCAGGATGTGTTAAGAATGGCCCTCACCAACAGGGAACTGGTTCAGTTATCTTCCTTTGCCTTTCAAATTCTTCCCAGAAAAGATCTCAAAGTAAGCATGTCTTCACAGGTATCCTATTAAGATTTGTGAGCTTGTTTACCGGCTTAGTTCAAGTCTGACGTGACCTGGCATTTATATTCCCATATGCCTCCTTTCAAAGTGGGTGGGAATTTTACTTTGTCTTTAGTAAATCTAAATAGTTCTTCTCATTCTGTCACAATGAATCTACCTATATATACTCTCCACAAAAAGGAAGCTCCCAAATCTGGAGAGCAATATTCAAAGGTCTTTTTAAAAGAAAAGCTTACTCTTTTGTGACAGTGACATTGTTTCAGATCCAAATCAAAGTCACATTCATTTACCAATACTAAAGAAAAAAAAAAAACTCCTAAGGAAGTAGCTTCTAAGGAAAATCCTGGATATTTATGTTTTCTTCTTGAAGGTGCAGAGGGGCCAATTCCTTTCTGATGCTTCTAGACTGACTTCTTCGCGTTAGTATCTGTGTGGTACCCGACCCTCACCTGTTAAGCTTTTTCATTGGAACTTTACAAACCTTGACCAATGAAATGACAGGTTGAACTGTGAAATGATAGTTATAGGGTAAGATCTGATTCTACATATTCTCCCAATATGGAAAGATGATTTCTAAACCAGCTTTTTTATCAATAAGATAGGTTCTCACTGACCTGATTCGGCAGCCTCTGAACATGCCCGTGTCTACAAGGTAAGGGCAAACCAACGTTGTTTTAATTCCATCCTTTTCAGCAGCCTTTAACTCATGGCTCAGGGATTCATGAAAACCCACCACTCCAAATTTACTGGCACAATAATCCTGAGTTAGAGGGGGAGAGAACAGAAACACTAAGTATGTGCACAGATCCCCCACCAAACCCAAGCTTCCGTGATCCTATTACTTTGGTGATGTGTTTGATACAGAAGGTTACAGGTGACTAAGCAAAGAAAAGGAAAGCATTTTAAAAGACAGCTATCTGATGTGGTTTGATGCAGAAATAATATTTTCAAAGCAACAGCAGACGAACACTTTTTGCCACATCGACCAAGTATCGTATTACTTTGGGGAAGTTACCACAAAGGATTCTATAAAGGCTAACACACTGAAGCTAAAAATGGAGAAAGGTTCACTTTGAAGTTTCTGGAAATTTACAAATGGCCTCTTGTTCAGTAAAGGAGAATAAAAATCCAGTTTGTTTAATTCTATGAGAGCAAAGGTGAGTCTAGCTTAGGTTATAAGTTATGATCCACTTGTCTTTTTAGTGTAAAGTGAAGAAAATGATAACTACACTTTGCAAACTTAAGCCAAACCTTTACCTAAGAACACACAGTATAGAAAGTTCTCCTTTGTCCCATTTGCAATGTAGGAGTGGAAATGTAGAACATGGAAGCCATCTGTTATTTGGTGTTCTTTTGCATATTTGCATGCAATTTTTAACTCTATGCTATAGGCTCCCACAGGACAGACAGCACAGGCTGATACACACACATGCACTTTACAATTTGTGGTGAACAACAGGGCTTGATTAAGCCCAGTTCTACAGATCTAACATTGCGAGACACCTCACATCTGCCGTAGCCATCTTCTCTGATGAGCTGATACAGGATGGCTCACTTCTGGCAAGTTGACCAAAACAGAACGTCAACCTTTGGCCTCATTCATCTGTTTCCCGTGGCACTGCCACTGCCCTCCATGGTTTCGTTCTTGACCCTGCACCTCCCCACCATCATCATGCAGAACTGCTAATGAAAATGGGGCACACTGAGGACTGGTCCACCCAGTGCTGCTGCTGCTTTGTCAAACTAGCAGAAGTGATTTTATGGCACAAGATACTAGAGTTGCACCTCACCAGCTGGCCCTGGGGTATCGCAGAACATTCCACAAACAGCACACAGGTAGAGTGCTTTCATAAATGTATGGGCAACAGGTACTCTTTACAGGATTTGGGGATATTCGGGATAAAGCGACTGAAGGAAGGAAATGCTTTATATTAGACAAACAAACCTCAACTCCAGCAGTACTGAACAATCCCAGGGAACTTGCAACTGTCACAATATGACCATGATTAATCTCCAGCATTGTAGGAAGAAAAGCCTTAGTGGTCTGAAAGAGAAGGAAGATTCAAGCTTTAGAACTGACATTGTGAGTTTCATCTAAAAGCCAATCCTACCTAATGTTTTACCCACATAATAAATGTTTCCCAATTCATTTAAAAATCTTACACATCCATGAAAAGAGAAGATCCTTGAAGTGTCTGGTTAACATAACACCGTATCATTGGTATGGCAGGCCTATTATAAAGCCGTGACCAAAAGGACTGTAACACAAGAGCTTTTGGGGACAATCTCCAGAGATGAAAAGAAAGCCGTTAGTCGAAGACTCTTTATCACCTTTCAAGTGATAGTTATCTGCTAATCTAAACTACTCCCAGGTCAGAGATCTTTTTATGCTCATGACACTTTAACACAGCTATCTCCTGATCTGTGAGAGGACCTCCAGCTTACCCTGTATCTACAGGAGGTAAAGTAGTTCAGGATGTAAAAACGCGGGATGAAAGTACAGGATCATTTTAATGAAAACTGTGGCCTATTCTGACTGCACTGCCAAGAGCTTACAGCATTCTGAATGCACACACCCCTCTGTGGAGGTTTACAGGGCAGTGACTTTCCCACAAAAGCAGGTGACTGGCCAGTGTAGCCAAGCAAGTAGCAGAAGTTCCAGGGCAACAGACCCAGGGACAGCATTGATTTCTTATTCGCTAAACTCTTTTTTTCTCTGGATCTTTTGCCTTCAAGACACAACAAGGCTGTATTAAAAAAAAAAAAAAATTACTTCAAATTGCTTAAGATGATCTATTAACTACTTCACCAGGCTCCCAACAGTTTTATAACCTGCTTCTTAAAAGAAAGCAGCAAAGAGCAATCTGTCTACTGTTGAGTTATATCCCATTGCCAACACAGCCTCCCCGTGATTTATGAAGTTAAAAAAACCCAAACAATACACACTGGACTTAAAGAAGAGTTGCATGCCCTTCTCTGAGGATTTCCTGGCTAAGGGATCACTGAATTTTTGCATAAATATCTAATTTGTTACAATAATTTTTGCATGTACAAGATCAAAAACGGTCATTCCATTTATTTTGAAGCTTTTCTGTGTTCCAATCCATGGTGCACACAGTTGCCAGATGAATGTCTGTCAAGGGTCCCAAGGTGGTCCCCAGTCTGCCTCCTGATTAGCATGCAACTCCCCTGCCCCAGCTCTTACCCCATTTTTCTGGGCCACCTCACTGCTGGTGCCCAGGGCACCCTTCTCACCTGTGAGGTTTTACCCATGAATTCTTCTCTAATCTGACAATCTACTGCCAATGCCCTCCTACATCATTCAAACTATAATATTAATCACGTGTTTACAAAACCTCTTATGCTTTTCAACATGCTTATGTCACAGGAGTTTCGAAATAATTCTGTACTGGAGGTGTTGAGCCTTTATATAATTCTATACCACCTTAATTTTGTTCATATTTCTTTAAGACATATGGTCAGTACCATTCACTGTAACATATAATTACATGTTCTATGGGATTTTGATTGTTTTATATTTATTTGTCTGGCTGCCTCAGATGAAGCTGGGAGATGAAGCTTCAAAGATTATGGGAGAATTACTCCCCTGTGATACCCTGTGGAGGAGAGAATGTGAACCATGTGCCTTACGTACTTCAGAGACCTGGCATACTACTGGATGGAAGAGAGACACGTTTCAGCTGGATTTTTACCTCTTTGCAGTAGTTAGTGGGAATGGCTAGGGCAATTACGATAATAATTATTATTTTGGTCTGCTTGATAGCCAAAAAAGGCAAGACCTGGTACTTCAGGTCATTATACGTTCAATTTTAGACTCAACAGCTTATATATGGCCATTATATTAAGAATTACAATAAAGTAACATCATTAAATCTAAATAAGAAAATGTATCCTTAAGTAATCAAGTCTGTAAGTCTTCTTTTAAGTATCTGGTTATGATGAACTGTTCCCAGATTAACTAAAAAGTATAAAATTTATTCTTGACGTTATTCGGAGACCAGTTCTAAGTATTAAAAGTTTGCCTAGTCTTAGAAGACAGGGATAGGTTTAGTTCAAAGGATCTTACTTTTAAGTTCTTAAGTACGTAGAAAGTCTCAATATTAAATCCCAAGAAACGACACACAGCATAGAATACTGGCAAGAACTTGCTGCTTAATCACCTGATGAATCTGAATCGCTGACCCTGCTTGTTCGCATCACCAGTGACCACTCACTCCAGCTGGCAGCTGGCCCTGACTAGAAACACATGGACACAGAGCAGTTTGGCTCTAATGACCTCCCCGTGCTCGTGTGTGACGTTCGTTGTTGCCTGCAGGTGTTAAATGACCAATCCAGATCCCCTGCACCATATAAATGTAGGTGATACCAGATTAACAAGTTCCTAACTTTTTTTTTTAAGTTTAATTTGTTGCATGTTCTAAAACTGATTAATGACCCCTTCCCCTTTTCCTGAAATTAGTCTGGTGGTATTAACTTACTCATTCAACAAGTGTTTCTTGAACATCTATCACAGGCAGGTACTGTTTTATGATCTGGCCAAATGATGATGGCTAAAACGGGAGCTGGTTCTGTGCCTGTCTCTAAGCAGAATTTACACTTACTGGCACTTAATTGTTAAAGCACTAGAACAGTTCTAGTGTGTCCACAGGGTATTATGCCTGTGTATTCTAAAAACTGTGACTTGGGCCTGCTTTCCTCCCCACCCACCCTCCCACCAAGTAGTCTGCAGGGACATTTAAGCTACTCGTTTTGTGTTTAAAGGAAGGAAGAAAAAAAGAGAAAGAGGAAGAAAAGAATCCAAATATGGCTGGCTAAAATCTTTTCCAATTGTGGGTTGTAAACATTTTTCAGAGAAATATGCTTCACTTTGAGTAGCTAGTAAAGTGTGACACAGGTTTGTTTTAAAGCTTCCTTTAGGGAGGGAGAGTTAAACAAAAAAACGTAGTGGCAGGTCAATGTCTGGTTTAAAATATGTGATTTCTTTGCCCAATCAGGGACAAACACGACCTTCTGTATAAGTGAAATCCAATGTGTCGTTTCATTGCATTTTCTACATCCTCAGACAAAGGCCTATATTCTTTAGGAAGCTCACCAATTATAGGCCTAATACAATGACACTGCTATCAAGGCTGAGAACAAACAAGGTTGAGGAAACTGGGAAGTGAGAAAAGGCATCCAAGGCCAGGGTCAGCCTCAAAACCCAAACTCACGGTTTCCCAAAACTGGGGTCAAACACTCAGCTCCTAGTGTGTGCCAGGCAAAGGCAAGCCTGAGGTAAGAGCGTTCACATCAGGACCACTGAGGTTTCTTTTTAAACCTGAGTTTTCAGGGTTTGCACTGGAGCCTGATCCACGTGACTGAGCACTCAGGCTGTTAATCATTTCCTTTGCTGCCTGAATGGAGGCAAGCAATTACTGCTTGTGCCTTATTTCCACAACCCAAGTCCTGCCTTGTGTCTGGGGCACATTACCAAATAAACTTTGATCAACACTAATTCTATCCCTTACTTTACAAGAAAAATGCTATAAATGGGTGGCTAGAAAGCATCATATTTTCAGGAATTTTCCCAAGTAACCTGACTAGTTTTCTTTTCTAATTACTCTTGCCCTCAACAGTCTGGTAGATGACATCTGAGATAGCACAGCATATTCCGTCCTTGACACAGTCTGACAGCACAAAGAAATCTGGCACTTTGCAATGAATTATTAATGTGCACAAATATTGTAGCATGTATGAGATGGGGACCAGCAAAAGGTGAAGTGCTAGTTGCCATGACACCAGTCAGTTCAAGCTAAGGTTCGTGATCTTTAACTTTGTCTCAAAGAGTCATTAAAAGAACATAAAGGGCACATCTAAAAGCACATCCAAACGGCTTAAGTATAAATTCATGCGTCTGCCACCATCGGTGGATCTGAGAGGGGCAACTCAGATAACTCACTGAACACCTGGACTGCTGTGTGATCTCCACTCAGGACGGATTACCTAGATCAGAAGTTACCACCTAATACAGGGGCCTCTAAAGAAAGTGCAGAGTTATTAGCTGGTGTCAGTGGTGGCTGGCAAAGTTAGCTAGATGCTTAACCCAAGTCGGAGAACTGCGCTCCGTCGCTGCGTCCTTCTGTTCAAATGTCTGTGAAACAGAGGACATGTAGTTCTCCATCAGGAAAAATGGCTGACTCTCGATCCAGGGGGTCTCAGAGTCAGGAACCAATATACATTCATTGGCATTGTCGGTGGGAGAATTTAAAGTTGGAACAGATCTAGGGAGTATTTTATCTGGAGCAAGAGATAACTCTTATCTCTGTCTCCTTCTGCATCTGTCTAAAAAGTGTGGAGACAGACCTTTGAATACTCATGAGTAATTTTATCACATGACTCCAATACCATAATTGGCCACGAGCTGATGGGGTTGTTACTGCTGACTAAAAAGAAAAAACAAAGGAGGGAGGAGGACATTCAAATGGACACTGACATTCTTATGAAACATACTTAAATCTAATATTGCTACAGCTCCTCGGGGTTCTTCAGAGCACTGGGCACTTTGAAAGATAACTGTAAAGGTCATATTTATAATATAAACAAGAATTCCTTAAACAGAAGTGTGACTGGACACAGACATGACATGTCATATCTTGAGAAATCTTTGAAAGTTAGGTTTACGCCAAATTAACTTCCAACAGTTGTAACCCTCCAGATCATTCCTGGTGCTCTTAATGACACACAGCAACACACAGCCTGTGGCTGCACTGTCAGGACAAATTAGCCTAATGTTCGACAAAAGGGAATGTGAAGAAATGTGGTGTCTGGCAAAGCCTGGCTTTTGAAATTTCGAGACTGATGACATTTTAAAGGTGTAGGTAAAACACCTAGAATGTGTTTTCCATATTTGCAAGCCATGCCAGGTTAATGGACACTAAGGGAAAAGCAAAGTTAATTTCTCACAGTAGGAAAAAGGCCTCATGCCATATTTTTGTGTGTTTGTATAACTGTCTTACGGTCAAGTCCAGAAAAAGCATCTTTGAA